TGTGTGTGTGTGTGTGTGTGTGTGTGTGTGTGTGTGTGTGTGTGTGTATGTGTGTGTGTCTGTCTATTCTCTCTCTCTCTCTCTCTCTCTCTCTCTCTCTCTCTCTCTCTCTCTCTCTCTCTCTCTGTGTTGTGTGTGTGTGTGTCTGTCTGAGTAACAAAAATTGATCTAGGGGAGAAGGGAGGAGTGGAGGGAAGGGAAGCTTCAGTCAGGATGTAATATATAAGAGAATAAAAGTGTAAAATGAAAGGAAAAGAAACCTAAAAGATAAATATGTACGGGGGGGGGGGGGGGGGGAGGAGAGAGAGAGAAAGTGCTACAGAATGCCCAGATTTTAGATCCTCTGTACTTGCTTCTGCTCTCAAAGGAAGCAGACAGTGGAAGTCTCTGTGTTCAGTCACTCAGCTACATGTGTGCCATGGCATACCAAAGCTTGCTGGACAATTTCCAAACATTAAGCTGTATGTCTTCATTGTGCTCTCTATGCAACCTTCACTTTTTCCCATTATAATTGTTGAGACCATAGTTCCCATTAGTGTCAGGACCTTTGTACTGTGTATGTTTATCTCTGTCTAGTAACAGTAGTTGGGGTTGAGCCAAGAATCCCATTTTAAAGATAAGCTGACTGAGGCCATAAAGCTGCCTAGCTGCTGTTTGGGGTTGATATCTGACATAAAGGTTGATGCTCTTCCTGCTACCCATACCATTCCCACTGCTGCCTGCATTTTTAAATTCTTTGACGTTTCTAGGCTTGGAAACAAAATGTCACATTAAGATTTTTGTTGTGAAAGGAAATGTAACTGTGCATACGTTTATTAAAACAGCTTTTCTCTAAATAGTGAACCATCTGTAATTTTCTGTCGGAAGCAACAGACATTAAAGCAGCTGTGTGTCTCTGTTTCTCTTCACAGTGCTCCCATGCCCTACCTCATAGGAATCCATTTAAGTTTAATGGAGGTAAGTGGGCTTTTTTTCCTCCCTGATCCCTGATGTGGGCTTTGGTTTTGCTTTGTGTAGCAAAAAAAAAGTGGGATCTCAGGATATGTAGCTCTGCACGCAGGAGCAGCTGAAGCAATTGTTCATGCGCAGCCTCCTGTCCGATGCACAAACCCCATCCATCAACCTAAACCCTTCTGTCTCCTGCATTCTAGGCTTCTCTGCTTTGGTTGAAGATGGTGGATTTTTCCCTGGGTGAATAAGAGAGGGTAGGGAGGTAGGAAAGGAGATACCATTTGGGCTTGGATAAGGTTTGTTTGGAAAGGATTTGTTTGTTTTTTATGATGACATTTATTCTAAGTCATTGTAACAGTGTTACATTTTCATGGTAGGAAATGTGATACAAATGGTTTATAGAAGTTATGAAGAAGAAAATTAAAATTAGCCACATTGCCATTATTTCAGAATGAACTACTGTTAGCATTTTACTAGTCTTCCCTTGGTCTTTATCCTGTAGATATTTGTCTCATCTAATATTGTCTTTACCTATCAGCGTTATAATGTGAGAATCCCTGCCTTTTTTTATCCACCCTCAGTAACAACAGTTTTTCATTCCTACAACTTAACCACTTTTCTGCCATTGAACACTTAGTTTGCCAGATGATCTTTTCACTATTATAAATAGCACTTCAACAAACATCTTTATGCATAAGGCTTTATCTTCATATTTTTTCTGCATTATATCCCTAGTGCAGAATCCCTAAAGCAGAACTGCTTGGTCAAAGCTGAGTCTGCTGCCAGATTGCTTTCCGCATGGCTGTACCAATCATGCACAGTACTTTCAGTGGACTTTCTATGCTTTTGTTCATGCCCTTGGTTTGTATACTAGACCTCCAGAGTTGGTTTTTTTTCCCTTTCTTGGGGAAAGGACAGACATTAGCACTGCCCAGAGTATGGTGGGGCTAGTTAGCTTGCCTGTGTGACACATGTGGGCTCTGGGAGGAAGTCCCCAGCCTTGCTTGCCATGGTGCTTAGCATGTCTTAAAGGAAATGCTACTTTTCTTCTGTTCCTTTCATTTCACGTTGACAACAAGGACCACCTGCTTCGCCGCTAACTGTTGCACGCTCTGCTATTGTGCTTACAAAAATGAAACAAGTTGGTTATCGAAAAACCTGTTTGTTTGACATTGAGAATCTTGATCAAAATAGACCACAGAAATCTGCTCAAATTTCTAATTTGACAGGACGGCCATGTGGCTCCTACATTCTGTTAACAGTCCCTCCCTGTCATCACCCAGCCCTAAGCACATACAGTACACAGTTTATGGACTATCTTGGATGATGTATTTAGATCAGACTGAAGAGACTGCTTGTATGTTTTACCTTTGTTAAGTGTGGGGAGTCTATTCAAAGCTCCCATACAAAAAATTAAAAGTAAATCCTTTCTAATGGACCTTTCATGCCAACTGCTTTAGAGTTTAAAGCACTAAAGACTACTGGGTCTATCAGAGTCCACAGTTCCCTCCTGCCTTCAAGTCTGCTCTGTCATAGGCTTTTCCAGACCTTTTCTGTGTCCCAGTACCTTCAGCATTCTCCAAAGTATCTGGTCTTGGCTTGCTTTTCTTCTCTATGTGCCCTCCAGCCATCTTGTTCAAGGTTCTTTCTTCAGCACTGAGTCAAGTCAGTGACACTGCTCAGTGATGTTAACACTGCTCCTGCTCCTGCTCCTGCTCCTGCTCCTGCTCCTGCTCCTGCTCCTGCTCCTGCTCCTCCTCCTCCTCCTCCTCCTCCTCCTCCTCCTCCTTCCTCCCTCCCTCCCTCCCTCCCTCCCTCCTTCCCTCCCTCTCTCTCTCCCTGGATTTCAGGTCCCCACTGATTTCAAGAACCCATTGAACTTCACCTCCCTTAACTTGAGCTGTCTCAGTCTTTCTCCAACGGTTTATTATTTGCAGACACACATTCCAAGCACTCAACTACCTTCTGATGTTCCCAGTTCCTTGAAAGGTATTGCCTGCAGATGCCCCAAAGTTGAGGCACAAGCATTCTCGATAAATACTCACAAGTCTCTATATAAAGCATCTTCAATCTTGTTCCTTTCCCACTGTCTTCCTTGGCTCTTTTCCTTAGCTTTCTTGGATTCTTACAAAGCCCTATTCACTGATTTGATAGCAAAATGTAGGCCTTGTGTGTTCCAAGAATTGTGCTAAGTCCTGGAGTTACAAAAAACGAGGATAAGGTTTAGTTTTTAGTCCCCCTATGGTGGCAGTTGTCATGTGGATTGCCAGGTGTGGTCAGGTCACTACAGCACACCTTCCATTCTCATTCTGTATTGCCCCCAAGCTTCCCATGGCTTCTCCACTGCTGTCAAGCCTTCTGCCCCATTATTGTAAGAATGCATATGAGCCAGTGCTTGTACTAAATAGATCCTGTGCATCCCCATAGAAGCCCTGCCCTTTTTTTTGGCAATTCCAGAAAGTATTCATCTTTTACTTGTGGGATCTCTTACTCTTCTCTACTCTTACTCTAAACAATAGCTGTTTGTTTCCAAGTCCCACTGTATGTCCTGTGGAATATGAATCTCATGGGAGCAAAGACAGCATCATCTTCTATTGTAGCCTTAGCTTCTTTAGCAGGGTGCCAAGCAGGTGGTATTGTCTGAAGCCATAGCTTTCTGAGAAGGATGCAGTTAGTTCTTGAGGATCCGTAACTGAACATACTTTAAAGCCTTCCAACAGGCATCAGTGTTTGCAGGTCACCAATGCCATCATTGCTCATAGAAAGCCAGGCCACTGGCACCTATAAACCTGGCGCTATTGGGCACAGAGACCCAAAGATCATGGGGACTTGCTGGTTTCCAACGTATCTTTGTGTTATGTGAGAGAGCCTATTTCAGGGGAAGAAGGTGGAGAATGATAGAGCAGGTACCTGATATCTTCCTCAGGCTTGCACACATAGGCATAGGCCCTCATGCCTATGTGCACATGCATGCACACACTCAGAAGAGGGCTTTAAAATATTTTTAATTTTATGGGACTTTAAGTAATACAGAACAAGCCTTTTTGTGTATAGTAAAGCATACAATGCAGAGTATGCTAAAATTTAAAGCACTTATGTGAACAGGTACCAGACTATTTTGACCAGTCTTTAAAGGGTTTTAGGTTCAGGAAGCAGTGGCCCTGCTGTGCCGAACTCTTATGTGGTCAGTACCAAAAGAAAAAGAAAAATGGAAATTGTTCCAGCCTCCGGGTAGTTTTATAAACCCCAACAAGTTTCCTTGAACTGTTTCCTGTAAGTGTTGCCCCTACCCCCATGACACTTCTTTCTATTGGGTCTTCTAGACTTCAGCTTAGGCTCAGGCTCCTATTGTGCATGCTTGCTGGACTTACATAGCTCTGACATGGCCTTCAGTGCTGCAGCATGTCCTGAGATTTTCCTGAATGTCTCCAATGCCAAGGGAGGAGTGTGGCCTGGCGGTCGAGCAGCTCTGTAAGGAAGGGGCTGGGGAGGCCTAGCTCCTCACTACACGAGTTTTCTTACTGGCAATTCAGCAAGAGGCTTATTTTTGACTGGCTTGTTATTTTTTCTTGAAAGCTATAGGCACCTTATTATGCCTTTGCATATGTGCCAGGATTTTTTAAACTTCAAATGAATGTGGCAGATGTTCATAAAAGTTTAGAAAAAGCTACCATAGGAAGACTTTTTAACCATTTTTATGACACTCAAATTTGTGCACAAAAAGAAACATAAATTATAACCTAGTATTCTCATTGGAAGGAAGGTTATTTTGAGGAAAGACCTACTTCTAGTCTTCAAGTTTGAGCAAGATGCCATTGCTAAATGGTAACCTTGTCACTATAAAGAGTCCACTTTTCTTCCAAAGTGACAAGTTTATAGCTGTTCTTCTTCCCTCTCCCTCCTTCTGCCTCTTGATATTCTTTCTCTCATTTAAGCAATTGGAGGCTAGTGGCAAATGAGCAGAATAGCCGAGGGTATTGGCATAGGCCTAACTGCTTCTTGGAGAGAGTGATCATGTTAGTTGGCAGCTAGGAAATCCCAAACCATGGCCAGATTACACACTGACTATTTCCTTTCATTCAACTGATCTCAATTTAGATCAAGACACATTTATTCAGTCCCCCTTCTGCGCCATATCTGGTAGCAGGTGCCAGGTCATGTCTCGTAGATGGTGCTTCTCCTATTTGTAAATGAAGAGCTTCCTCACATGCTTCAAAACAGTGCTCTGTGCACACCTCAGAGTGAGATGAGGAGGGGTGCAGCTAAAAGGTGTTTTACAGTAGAATGGTCAGAAAGGTGGAGGGAAAGGTGATAACAGAGTCGTGTTTCTGAGAAAGGCTAAGATTAGCTTGTGATTGAGACCCTGCTGGATGCAGAGGTGGGGTGTTTGGGATTTAGGTCCTGGAGTCTGGACCTACTTCCTGCTCAGGTGATGTTGGACAAGGATATCAAAGTGATGAGCCTCTTGTTTTCTCACCTACACACTGAGGATAGGGGCGGAGTTCCCTGTATGGAATCATTGGAAAGATCTGGTGAGGCAGTATGGCACTCAGCATAAAGAACTCCATGGAGTCAGCAGCCATGGCTGCCTTGTTTTGTTCAGTGGCCTTAAAGTCATTTATATTGCTAAGTTGGTGGCTTCGAAATCATAATATGTGAACTCTTAGGTTACCCAGATAAAATTGATGTGCAACTGCCCAGTGTCCCCCAGTTTGCATTGTCCCAAGGTCGGGAATAACACTTCATAAGATGCAATCAGTGTCCTTTCAGACCCCTGCCTGACCACATCCTTGCATTTGACTTGTGGTTGTTTTTATTTTGTTTTGCTTTTTTTCTTGAAAAGTTCTGGCACTATATTATGGCTCTCTGTCAGTGCTTGATTTCTTGGGCTCCCAGAGGGTGAAGGTGACAATTGTGATATTTCATCTCTCTGGATCTTACTTTCTTCATCTAGGATAGCAAAGTCCTGTAGATGTTCAGCATATACTATGGTCTGGCCCGTGCAC